AGTACTATTATTTTTCATTTCTTTAAATTCCCTTCATTAAGTTATTAACTCTCATTCTCTCTCCTTGCATACTTCATGAAGTTATTTTGAGTATTGTCATTTCTCATCAATAAATTATACAAATTAAATTTATATCCAATTTTTTTAATAGGGTTTGACTATGATATGGAAAAGATATGATATATGAAAAACTTGTAATCAGTCAACTGGAATCATAAAGTGGTGGTCAATTAGGTGTTATTTATCAAAATTCATGGGTGGGTTTTGATTGGTCAAAAATCTCCCCATACCATATCTTTTCTACATCATAGATTTTCCCTTTTTACTAATGTAAAACCTATGTTCAAAATCAAAACCAACTTGAAAAATAATTAAATAAATCACCCTTTTTGTCTGAGTTGCAAGTAAATATTTCAACAATCTATGTTAGTTAAGCTTAAATTCAACCCAACCTACTTGACTTGCAACATAATGATCCAATCATTTAGGTAAATGGATTTAACCAATGATGTCATAATTAAATAATAAAAAGGGTTAATTACAAAGACCCCCTGTTCTATGGGGTCAGCGACAAAGACCCCCTATACTTTAATTTGCAACAAAGACCCCCTAAACTTTTACATTGTGGACAAATACCCCCTTGACTGTCAAGCCAGATGACGAAAGGCGTTAAATTACCAAAATATCCCACTAAACTTTTTCTACTTTTTTGTGCTTTTTAATTAAAACCTAATTACCCAAAACACCTTTGATCGTCACAGAAAAGGAAAAAAAATCTAACTTTAAGACCATTGATAGGAAAACAAAAGAGAATCCATTATGTATCTTCAATCTCTCTGTATTCTCTAGCAGAGGAAGCAATATTCCCTCTCTTCATCTCTCTCTTTTTGGTATTGTTCTTTTTGTATCAGAAAAACCCATCTCCAAATTCTCATTTTCTTCATTTGGGTGCTTGTTTGTAATGAGATACAACTTCTTGTTTCAGCAAATACGCCATAAAAGTGAATGACTCTTCTTGCCGAGGTACTTCAACACAAGGTTGCAGTCCTCTAGTATCGATCGATCAGTAATCCCTTCGATCTAAATTGCAGATTCAATCACTTGTTGTTACAGAATAAAAAAGCTCACTCTCCACCCAAAAGCAACTCTTGATCACAATTACCTAGTGTAAAAACCTCATGGAAGGTCTCATCATCAACTACGGCGACTATCCATCTTCTGCCCTCGAAGACCAATTCATGGCTATTCAAGAAGAAGAAAGGCAACTAGATGTTGGAATTTGACAATTCTAAGATTGAAGTCTTCTAGGATCTCTCCACAACTAAGTATGAATCGGGACTTGAACCAGTTGATGCATGCACTGCTCTTTTTTTTTTTTTTGAAAGAGGTAATGTAAAGCTTTGTTAAGAAAAGAATTAAAAGTGTACAAGTGGTACACAACAAAAGGAGCATAAAACAGAAACCCAGATCTGCAAACAACCACCCCAAAAAAACTAAGACCATATCACAAACGACAAGACAAAGCGTTATCGGTTGATCTTGATGTTAGATCTTAGGATCGTGGCAGTTGACAATGATTCTACAGGAATGCCATCAGTGTTTGGGCTGTTTCCTGAAGTTGCAATCTTCACCCCTTGCACATTGGTATTCTAGCAATCATTTATCATAATTAGAGATGTAAAACGGGTCGTGCCAGCTTGCAGGCCATGCCTCCATCCCCTAGGGTATTTTAGGGGATCAGCCCAGCACGGTCCATGACCCAAGCCCACACGGACCTATGCTATGCCGTGCCGTGCCATAGGCTGAGCTGGTCCATGGGCCGAGCCTCAGGTCAGGTCAGGCCGTGGATAGGGCCAAAGCTATTTATTTAAAAAAAATAAAAAAGTCTTAAAATTTTAATTTTATATGAGTTTTGATGTATATAATTGTTTATATATACAATAGTTAAATAAAATAGTATACTAAATTGAAAACAATTGTTTATTTTATTAATATGTTATTATATAATTATAATTTATATAATATTATATATAAATATATATAATACATAAATATACTAATAAAAATATATATGGGTTGTGCTGGGTCGTGTTGACCGTGGGCCACGGGCAGCATGACCCGCTCGGTCGTGCCAGTCGAGCTCAAAATCGTGCCAAGTCATGGGCAGCACAACCTAATTTACACCTCTATTAATGTGGTAAAAGTGGTTATTTATCAATAATAATCCATTGATCACAATGCTCTTTGAATTTGTACTCTTCTTGAACTTGGACAAATTGATCCAAGATATAAACTTAATGTGCATGCGTGTTTTTTAAGCATAATTATGAGGAATTTACCTTAATGTTTGTATTACTAGTTTAAATTATGTGTGTGGCTTATGTGTTTTGGTTGGTTTATGGTCATTTGTATTACTGTTTTCTAGAAGGCGGCAAGAGCATAACTAGAAATCAATTCATGATAAGTTTAAGCTCAGAAATCTGATATCATCAATAGTAGGGAATACTGACTTCTGTTTTTTTTGGTTATTTTGTTGTCGTCAAAGGCATAGTGCAGAGTCACTTCTTGGATCCGATGCACTATCATCTCTTTAGATTTTCAGTGCGTTTCTGAACCCAGTTCCTAATGGTTCTTGCTTTTCTCATATGGAGGTTTGGTCGGATATATTCAAGGGGTCTTTGTTGCAAAAGAGGTCTTTTTTATTATGAAAAAAATGGATAAAAACACAACAAATTTAAATATATACATAAATTTTGTAGAAAATTTTGACATGTCTAGGACATTATAAACTTATGATATCAAATAAAAATACGTGTGACAAATAAGAATAATTTTTAGAATTAATTATGTAAATGGAATAAAAAATTAAAGTTGTCCAAAAATGAGATTGTTTTTTTTAAGTCAAATAGGTCAACACGTGATGCCATAATTATATAATAAAAACTTAAAACATATATAAAAATATAAATATAAAAAACATAAAAATTGTCTATAAAATTTGTGTACATCTCTAATATTATATATTTATCATATCAAACAAAAATAAATATGATAAATAAGAATTTTTTTATTAACAATGAAAATGAGATATCAAATCTAAATCCACTAGCACACCATATCATTTTTAAATGGTTCTAATAAGAATATTGAAATTATTAATGTTATCTGTACATATTTACTAGTCACAGAAAAAGCTTGAATATTCGGTAAAAACAACTTGGGTTGTTTCGAAGTTTCATATACATGACACTTTATCATGGCCGTGGGGTAAAAGGATTAAGTGGGGTAATATGTCATGTGCTTAGCAAGCATTTCTAACAAGCCACATTACTAAACACCTCTCAAATTAACTCGTTCATAAGGCAAAACAATGGCATTTCCTAAGATACATTTTCTCAGAAAAATGGTGTTGCATAGGTATGCTATTTTCCCATTAAATGTTTTTTTTTTCCAAGTTTTCTATTTGGTACCATTGTTGTTACTGCCACAGGCATTTTTCAATACCATGTCAGCATATTGTTGCTAGCAACAATAGAAAAAAAAAGAAAACATTAAAAAGGGCATTTTCTAATATCACACCTTTCTCGAATAGAAATTGCAACTGGGTGGGGCGGGGCCGGGTTTTGCATGCCCCGTACCGGACCCCAAATTTAAATTCCTTGCCTTGTCCCCACCTCGAACCCCAATGGAGCTAAAAATCTTAACCCCATCCCCATCCTTGCAGGGAACATGGATCCCTGACTTTGCCTCACTTGCCCCGATGTCAGGGTGGGGTGAACAAATACCGTCTCCGGTCCCAGAGTTTCGGGGTTTCCCCGAACCCATCCCGAACCTGATTAGTGGTTTAAAAACCTGCCCTGATTGGGGGTGGGGGGCCCACGGGGGATAGGTGAAATTTCCATCTCTATTCCTGATTTTCAAGATGTGGTATGAAAAAAAATGTATTTCAGAAAACAACTAATCAAACATAAAGTGTTTTCTAAAAAAACGGATTTCAAATGTAGTATTGATGTGGCTCCGTTTTTTGAAAAAAACATCCTTGATAAACCCAGGTGCAAATCTAACCTTGTGCATGACACATTAGCATGGGCGTGGGGCAAAAAGGAATAACTGCAATCGATATTCTTTTAGGTTATGTTTGGTTTGAAGGGAAAAGTAGGGAAAGGAAGAAGGAAACCTCCTTTCTCTACTTTTCCTTCAGACCAAATACAGCCTTAATTTAAAAAAAAAGACAAATAAAGAATTAAGTGGGGTAATGTATCATGTGCACCGAGAAAACTTTTCTCAGACCCTACCCTATCAAAGTACTAAACACCTCCCATATTAACTCATTTATAAAGAATTCCGGTCTGAACCATGGACAACCCGGTGCAAATTTGGCAATCACCCTTCTGCAAATGTAACCATATGCATGAATCATGATACATTAACATTTGCGTGGGGCAAAGGAGTAATTGCAATTAATAAAGAGGACAAATAAAAAATTAAGTGGGGTAACGTACCATCTGCAGTTCAACCACCCCGGATCATCGGATTGCTAACAATTAACAAAGTCAAAGATTTTTTAAAATGATTCTGGTTCAGGGGTGAAATAGAACCATTTGATTGGACAGTTTCCAAGTCAAATGATCCGACCATCCAGATCAATGATATTTCAAAATCCATGGACCACACTACGAAATACCCCCAATTTTTTTTTTTTTCGAACAACAAATTTAGTTAAGTAGAGAAAGACTAAACACCCCACAAATTAACTCGTTCATAAAGAAGTCCGATCTGAACCGTCGATAACACAGGTGCAAATCATCACTCATTCGATTCGATCAAAACTCCCCGGTTTGGGAGTTAGGAATCCAAATGATGAGAAAAATAAAAAAATGTTACTCTGGACCATTATGGGATAATGTACAAAGCTTGGGGTATTTTTGGCAAATAGATATGAGATTCTTTGCCTTCGTCAAACAAGTAAACATCTACTCCATTACTCCATTACTGCTTAATCTTCGCTCTTGCTGATTTTTTGTCTTAACACTTTTTTAATTCTCTCTCTCTCTCTCTCTCTTGTGTGGGTGTCTCTGATATATATTGACAGGTCACAGAACCACCTCATTTTCTTCTTTATTTGCAGCAACCTCTCTCGATCTCGATTCTGTTCATTGATCTGTTTCTATCGCCATGGATGAAGAGTACGATGTGATAGTGCTCGGAACGGGGCTCAAAGAATGCATCCTCAGTGGTCTTCTTTCTGTTGACGGCCTCAAGGTTTTGCTTTTGCTCTTTTGTTTTCTTTGCTCATCTCGAGTATGTTATGTGTATTAGTAGCAACTTCAAACAAGAGTTAGTGCACTGAATATTGACTATTCTTCGTCATTTTTAAAGTGGGTGTCCTGATATTTTGGCTCTTGATTGGTTCTGATTTCAATTTCCTAGTCTCATAGTAAAAAAAATTTCTTCATTTATTACTGGATAGTATTTCTGTAATATCTACTGCTTTGTTTATCAATTGAGAGAAGGATCTCCAAGCAAGTGCGAATATCTTGTAGTCAAGTTATTTTTCTTGAATGAGTCAACTCCCGTTTCCCAATAGATTAAGTGGTAATTTAGGCAATTTTGCATCGAATCTGTTTTTTAGTTTTGTTGTTTTGGGTGTTCCGGGTGCAATTCGCTAGTTTCATCTGTTAGAGTTCCATATTGTGAAATATCCATTCGTGTTAACTTCTTTAGCGTGGAGTCTTGGTGGGTTTCTCGACGACAGGCTTGATTTTGATTAGATTTTTTGTTTACAGTAGCACTGCATCTAATATTTCATGGAAAAATGTTTCTTTTCTTCCGGAAATACTTAAAGTAATAAGCGAATGTTAAGTGGCATCTACATTTCAATAAGAGAATGTATAACCTACCTTGTGGGGCATGTGGATGTTGGACACGGATATTTGTCCAATAAAAATTAGCCAAGACAACTTGCTTCTGTACACTGAAGAAATTCCTAAAAGATCAGTTAATACTTAATAGAACTAAAATCTATATAGAGAAATCTCTTATGTATACAAAGCTAGAAATAGAAACACTTTGAGATTATGCATTTGATCTATATCTATTTCTATATCTATATATATATATATCAGTTAATACTTAATAGAACTAAAATCTATATAGAGAAATCTCTTATGTATACAAAGCTAGAAATAGAAACACTTTGAGATTATGCATTTGATATATATCTATATCTATATCTATATTTATCTATCTATCTATATATATATAGGGATGAGAGATCCATCGTATGGATGACCGAACCCTGTAGGAAGGTTGGGCGAAATTTCAAAAATTTATCTTTCTCCCATCTGGGAATCGCATTCCCTATTTTAGAAAACTGCATTTTCAAGGATCAATCTTGAACCAAACCGGACCAGATCTGAAACCAAAAGGGAGGAGAGGGATATACCTGATACGGAGTAACAGTAACTCCCAATGAAGGTGTTCACGCCCAAGGAGAAAACCAAAAACTGCTTCCACTGAAGATGACACAGTGAGAGGTGAAGCAGAATCAGTAGGACGACTCTTCAGCAAGAACCGAATTCTTCAGCAAGAATGGGGTAGAGGGCTGGGTAGGGGCGGCAAGAATAGGGGAGAACTCTGTAGACTGCTGTAATGTCTTTTGTGTGTTTTGCATGTCCGCCCTGCTCTCTTATTTATAGCCTTAAAGAGACAACCTCCTAATCTAATTAGGAGTTTCCTAATCCAAACCTTTATTTGGTGGACTCTTTAAGTGATAAGGATAATCCCTTATCTTATCTGCAGTTTAAGATTAGCTTGATCCTAATCAAATTAGGAGTCTCCTGATTTGGATTTGGATCTGGACTCTTTAAGTGGATAAGACTTATCCTCTTATCCTTATCTGCTAATCCAAACCCAAATTTGCCCCTATTTAATTAATCTAATTAACCCAGTTCGAATTGGGCTTTAAACCCATTAAGTTTATGTACTCACTTAACCTCCTTACCTGCTGCCAGTTGACTCTCTTTGTATGGCGTGGGATTCAAGCATTGATCTATACATCAGCCACATGGGTTTAACCCAACTTTTGTTACAAGGCCTGGCCGAATTCACTGTAGGAGACAGTGAACCCCTGAGTCCATCACCATGGACTCTTAATGGGCCCAACATTTACACCAAATGGTCCTTGGGTCCAGCCACTTTATGAAAACCCAAGGACTGTGGGTAGATGCAAGATTAGCCCATTAGGCATTACCCTCAATGATCTTACACTTAACCTCTCAGCCCATAATGATCAAACACTGTCCGACAAGAGAGGACCTCTCCCTCGGCTACAAGGAACAGTGTTGCACTCTCTACTCACATGGATCCTGGGAATTAAAACCTTTTGAAAACATTTTGAAATCATATATATATTATATCTTTATATAAATATATTTTGCAAAACAAATTTCAACGGTTAAAATCAACTGTCGGCAGTTTAGGTTTTCATCAGAGAGAGTGCATCCCCGATCATTCACTTTGTCTGACAAAGGGGCTGATCCTGTCACTATGATCACCCACTCAGATGAATTCTCGGACTGTCCCAACATACCYAGGTTTTGACCCCCTCTAAGGATCTCATTGATTGGCATATCAAAGACAGCCCAATCCGACACCCAATGCAGTGCCATAATTGAGTCTAGGGGTCAGGTGTAACACTCCAGTTTTGCCCATCTATCTCTAAGGTCCAGGGCAATACTGGAATTCCGGTCCAGTTCAGGGTTTCAAGAAAAACCCACACTGCATGTACCTCAAGTTTCACCCTAGCAGTTGAGACAAGCCACCCCAACCAACTTGGCGGCACATMAATGTCAGCCTTGGCAGGATAAATCTCCCCAGACCTATCCAACGGCTGTGAAGATTCAAAACTAACACGAGTCTCATGAGTGTCTAGTTTAAGGGTATTACACAGAAACACACCACAATGACATAAATCAATTATGTATTTTATTCATTTACAATAAATGTCAAAAGGTACATCAATCTGATTGGAGCTAAGGGCATAACTGTCTAACAATATATATATATATATATATATATATATAAAATCCGTTATCTCTATCCATGCTTCAATAAGTGCTTGGAATTGTCTACTTTTACTTTATGATTGCTTTATTTATCCTGAGAATGTGTTGGGTTTATTCATGATTTAGTGCAGGAGTGAGACACAACTATTATAATCTTTAATATTTTCAATTTAAAATAACTGCACATTTTTTTATTATATGAATATATGATAATGCGATATTTGCGATATTGATGTTGTGTATGCATTTCAATTTTCATTTTTCTGATAGATAATTAAACCATGCTTGCATTTTCTATCAACATTTAATTTTTATTTTAATTTTGGATAAGTACAACATTCAGCATTCGAGGGGCCATTACTTGGTGTAATGGTAAAATCTCAGGCTATCCAGTGTGAGAATGTGGCCTTGATTATGAGAGCGGCCACTTTGTGCAAAAAAATGTCAAAGGTTAGGGCCGTATCCGGTCCACCCCTCCCAAGATCGCAGATGGATGGGATCAACATTGGGTAATGGCCGCTTTTTTACAACATTCAGCATTTTGTGCCTCTTGGTTTCTTTCACATGAGATGATATTACATTCATTCATGCCATGCCATCTGTCTTATTGCTATTATTTCTGTTGTTTTTATTATCTTGTCCTTTGGTGGATACATCGGCATTTTCTTGTTTAACTCATTCTCTGTATTCTATGAGCCAGGTCTTGCATATGGACAGGAATGACTATTATGGAGGAGAGTCAACTTCCCTGAATCTCATTCAGGTTTTTATCTCTGTGCTGTCAAATGCAAATCCTAATGCCAGATTCAGGGAAATATTTTAAACTATCTATTTATATTAACTTTTTTAAGCATCATTTTTCAGCTCTGGAAAAGGTTTAGGGGAAATGATAAGCCTCCAGCACATTTAGGCTCCAGCAGGGATTACAATGTGGACATGATTCCAAAGGTTTTTCTTTTTGTTTCCACTGATTCCTGGAACTTCTTTAATTAAGTTACAGTTTCTTAAACTACATTTGAATATTGGGTTCGGCAATTTACTAATATCTTATTGGATAATGTTTGCTTGACTAGTTCATGATGGCAAATGGTACTCTGGTGCGTGTCCTCATTCATACAGATGTTACAAAATATCTGTACTTTAAGGCTGTGGATGGAAGCTATGTCTTTAACAAGGGAAAAGTGAGTCCTTTTTCCACCTGTCAGCTATGTTTTCAATTTGTTAAAAATCCATACAAAGTATAACTACCTTTCTATGGAAACTTGTGGTTAAGCGCATTCATATTCCTATAAAATTAGTGTGCTGAAGTTGGATTAAGATGGCTTGTACATAGGAACCATTTTGCAGTGGGTCAGCATGGACAAGATATATGTTGAATATGCTGCATAATTCCTATACCTGAACTAAGCAAAGATAGTGTATGGCGAATAGTATTGATGTGGCATTTAAACATGTTTTTGATAGATAACAGAAACTTTTATTAATAAAGAGATTAAAAAGGAGGATACAACAGGAGGGAGGGGTAAAATCTCTTAACCCTCCCTGAAAGTTTACTTCATATTACAAAGCTGCCCAGAAACTGAACTTCCATGTTTTGAGTCAGATGTTTAATTTCCTTTTTTTCATCCAAGTATTTCTACAAACTGAATTCTTCCTTCTGCAGCCACCTAATAACCAGGCTAGAGTCACCTTCCACCACTAGTTTTCTGATATTCAGCTGCTGTGCTCTTTTATTCCCTTCCAAGACTGCCAGTATTTCAGCCCTCAGAGAATCCCCCCATCCAATAGGCCCCGAATACATGGCAATAATTTGACCTTCTTCATCCCTGAAAGCTCCACCTATACCTGAAGGA